TAAAATATCTAAGTGTTAATTATAAGAGGCGAAATTGAGATCAGAAAAAACTGAAATATATACATCATTGTAATATTATAGTAATAAATTCAGATCATTTTAACGCGTAGTACTCTTGACATCTCCCACGCCAAATAAGCATGACATCGTCGTTATACATTTCTCAGATGTTTAACGGAATAGAAACGTGAAATGAATAAAACAAAGATTTCTGCACTCATTTTCCTTGACCTGAATATACATCTATGCGACGGTCTGCTTCCCGTCTTTCTTCTATTTTACGTTGTTTATCAATTTCGCGCAGCTTACTATAGACTTGATTTCTTCGTCGGATCGCATTTAATAAACCCTCATGTATTTTGATGTATGACCGGAGGATTTCGTTACTAGATTCAAGTTGGGATTGTAATTGATTGCGAACTTGAATTAGTATCTCCAAACCTTGATCCTTTGTCTCTTGTGCAAGTTTGCCTTTACTTCGGTCGCTTCCTTGCAAACCAACATTCAGGACTCCAAAACTTAATCCGCATTCAACCTCTTCTGCTTTAACCACACGTGTACTGACAGTTTCCGGAGGTGGATTAAGTCGAAAGTCTAAGTCCTGATACATAACGTCATCGCCTTGTAAAATATCCATTAATCTACTAATTTTCTTCCTATAATTATTTTCTTGCTCTATTTTTTCACGTAATGAAGTTGCCAATGAATCTAGATGTTGACTTTTTAGTACATTTAAACAATGAGATTTACGAACAGCATCTTCGGGTCTTTTTAGCGGACTAAGAATTTCCTTAATGTCGATGTCCTTGTATGGATTATCCGTTGGATCCCCATCAAACTCTGTGAAGTTCTCAACATCGGCCTTATGAATACGATATATGATGTGGTGTCGCGAACCGTTGGGTACATCAACAGGTTCCAATTCTTCTTGGTACCCATAGGGTGCTCGCAACCTAACACCGCCGTCTAAAGCAGCGGCGCGGTTTTTCATCTTATGACCTCTATTATGTGGTGTCAACCCGATCTCTTCTTTTAAAATACCCTCGTCGTTTATACCATTCGAAATTGAATAGTCTACAGGTGTGTTATTTCCATAGAACCTTATACCACGTTGGTTATTCTCGATTCCATTCATGTTATTATTTACAATACTACCACCTCCATTCAATTCAGGGTATTGATTAATGCTTGAAACGATGTTGTGATCCATATTTACAGATCGTTGTTGATCTACTCTTTGACGTGATGACATGACAAGGACATGTGCTGCATCGACTGCTTCGGCAGCTTCTAATTCTTGCGGAGTTAAAAGTGATTGCGTAATCTTGTGCGTTGATTTGTGTGATGATTTATGTGATGCCCTTGATGACGTGTGAGTATGTGAAGTTTTTTGAGAAGTTGAAGTTGATTTTGAGTTATTTGATGGCGAACTCCCTTGCGAAGTTCCTTTTTGGACACCACGATGAGAATTATGTCCTGACGTCTGCTGTACGGTGCGAACTGTGGAATGTACAGTTAATGGCTGAGTATTTTGTAGAATTGACTGCGAAATACCATCTGAAACATCTTGACGAGCAGTATTACGAGTCGACGTATGTGTGGAAGTTTGAAGAGGCTGAGAATCCATAATTGAACGAGGTGACTCGGCCGGACGTATTAATGGTATTGGCTTTGTTGATGTTCCTTGAATAGAACGTTCACGCTGCATTGATTGATGCGGGGCAGAAGCAGATAAAATCTGCGGGGATGGGGCTTGGTTTGCTGGTTGTGTTCTTTGTTCCTGTAAATTGACATTCAATGGCATGGAAGGATGAACAGGGCGATTTGAACTGGAAGGTAATTCATTCGTTACTGCGGGCGTTGTCATACGTGTAGATTGCAGCATCAATGGATTTTGCTGTTGAGAGTTATGGTGAATTGAAGAGTTGAAGCTGTGTTGAATCGGTGGTGTATTTGCCATATTTTCGAATGGACTCATTCCAATAGGTCTAGCAGTTATACTTGGAGAAGCGCTCATGCTTCTATAAGTATCTGTGTGGGAACCGTAAATAGAATTGTTCATTAAAGGAACAACCTGTGTCTGCGTGGAGTTCGGTTGTACCGGCGGTGCTCTTGCCGAATTCGCCATACTGATTGGGATTCCCGCGACATTTTGCAACGCTAACGTTCCTGAATTTGACATAATAGGTTGCGTTTGTTGTGGATTATGTTTTATCACTGGTGCAGGTGAATGGCGTGACACTGGAGGTATCCTAGGAGGGACACTCGAAGGGGGAACACGATTATTCGTAAATGGCATCCCGTGGTGACCTTGCATAATATTCATTTGATCTGGATTTTGAGAAAAACTGAGGTTCACCTAAAAGGAATATAACAAGTAAAAAACTATTTAGAAGTAGATAAGTATGAAAACAGTTTACACGAACCGGTTGCATGACATTTTGTTGAGCACTGGAGACTTGTTGAAGATTTGGTCGTATTGCCTGAATGGGAACGTTCGTTTGTATAACTTGAGTTTGCTGTGGGCCGCTAACTATTGGTCTTCTTTGAGTGGAACGTTCTTGTCCCGTTGTCGAAGCAGCGGTTGGCGGTGAATTTAAAGGTGGATTATCCAAAGACGATTTATGCATTTTTAATATTTTTGGCATAAAAAAAAAAGTGCACTTGTTTTAAAAGATTCTTCGGGTGGCTTGACTTTGTGTAACAAATGTCATAATTATTAAAAATAAATCCGATTGGTTGGCATCACATTTTTCTCCTGTGCCGTTACACATAATATATATTTGAATCTGATTTAGTGATTGTTCCGTTAAGGTTTGATCGGTATCTTAGCACATATTAATAGTTTATTGTAAAAAATTTGTATTTAAAAATAAAAAGATTTTTAAATTACTATTAATAATATAGTAATAATAAATTTTTTTTAAAAAGAACAAATTATTAAAAAACTATATTCTAATTTTCAAATTTTTATAGAAATTATTTTTGAACAAAAAATTAAATAAATATTAATTTTTTAAGTTATCAATACTTTTACAAATATAAAATTTTTTAAGAAAGAAGAATCAAATATAAAAGTTAAATTACTATAAAGTCAAAAGACTTAATATTAATTTTTTTAGCTTTTAATTGGTTTAATATAAAATAATATTTTTATAAATATTAAAAAAAAATTTTATAAAATAATATTTTTAATTGATAAATTCATTAAAATTCAAAATTTATAAAACTTAAAAAAATATTAAGAAATTTAAGATAATTATAGAAATATATTAAAATTACTTTTAATTTTTTTTTTTTATATCCTAGGCCAGGCTAGGTATATGTGCTTTATTAAATATTTGTATACTGTACATTTTAAATGATTCGCTAAAGTTAAGACTTTACCTAATTCACTTATTATTATTTTGTTTTAATATACCAAAACTCTAAGTGCAACTTTGAAAGTGATTTATCACTCCATTAATAGTTCAGGTGAATATCCTTCCAACCCTTAACATTATTGCCCACAGATCACTACTATAGATCACTATCCGTTGTTTTGATCAAACTTAAAATCCAATCATTTTATTCTATAAGTAACACCTTTGAATAGAATTTCTTTCAGGCTTTCATTTTCTTGAGTTTCTTTCTCTGATAGAGGATCTTTACTTTTGAGAACTGATGGTTTTAAGCTGTATATGCCTGAGGATCAATTAATTTTTTCTATTCTGCGGTTTCCTTGTAACTATTCCTATTCAATTATATTTTCACATATTTTGTTTTAAACCTTTTTCATTATTTGTTTGCACATTCTTCTTTGTATCTTTGACATCTATCTTCTTGCCTTATTACCAATTTTTTTTTTCATGGCATTTCAGATCTGTCATTTTTAGGATTAGGTCTCTCCTTACTAATCCTGTGCAAAAGCTTAGAGTGTCTTGACTGATTTTTGAAGTCTGTTCTATCAGTTTAGAGACCTATTTATTCAACTTGACCTTTTTTTCTTCATCATATATAATCAACCTTGCATGTTTTTCTTCTGCTTCTTTTTTTCTCTCTTGTAAGAGTCCCCTGAAGTTTCTAAGAATCCCATCTTGTCCTTTATTCCATACTTTCTGTAATTGTTTTTTGTATACTGGACACTCTAGTAAATATTCAAAAGTTTCACTTTGCTGGTTGCATGCAATACACTTTACTTGTTTATAAAGGTCAGGCCTTCTAGTTGTTAGCTTGTTCAGAGTAGATAGCTTATTATTCATTAGTTTTATGAAAAAAAGCTTTTTCACTGTGATTGTTTAAAGAAAATATTCCAAGTATGTCCTTTTTTTATTCTTTTCTATACAAGGTCCCAAGTATAATTTTGCTACTTTATAATTTGATAACTCTATCTTTATTTCATTTTATTTTGTTGTGTCCACTAAAAGGCAGTTGTTTTATTGTTTACTTTTTGACAAACTATCTTATTGGGTCATTCAGTGTCTTTTCTTGCTATCTAATTTCTGTGATGATCTTGTATGAGGTCAGTTCTTTCCATTTTATTACTGAAAGTTTCAGAGCTTCTTTGATTAGAACATCTACTTCTTTGTTATGGAAATCATTAGAATATACTTTAACCTTGATAAGTTGCAGATTTATGGTCTTTTTTTTTATCAATTCTAACATTTATATCTATAGGGACCAGTTTTTTTTCTTTAACTATCTTTTGTGAGTTCACTTTGGATCTTCTCTTTCCATTGTTTTTCACTTGAAAATATAGGCTTGACTATCTGTATAGTTTTCCACATCACTATCCACTGGAACCATCAGAAGTATTGTGACAATTGCTACAAGTTCTGTATATGTTAAGAAGGACCAACTGTCTACTTTTGTCTGAAATTTACTTTCTTTATCTATATATTCTATCTGGATCCATGCTGCTCCCATTTTCATTTCTTCCTTTTTATGATTAATGAATGATCCATAAAGTAGAAGATTAGTTTTCTAACATTGGATCCCAGGTTGCATTGAAGTATTTCTATTAGGTAATCCTGATATACTCCTTCTATAATATTGTCTCTAATGATGACCTCTTTCTATTTTTCGATATCTAAATGATTCACTATATTGATTGGAGCTAAGGTTTGAGGGTTTGGATCCATGTTAGTAACCTTTTCCATTGTCTTTTCTAGTGATACCTTGGAGTAAAGAATTGTTAGTTCTTGAGCTTTTCTGATTGACTTTCTTGTATTGAAATATGAAACTTCATATATATTTTTCATATCTTTCTTTAATATACATCCCTCTTCTTGTTTTGTACCTTCTGGGTATCTTGGGCACTTTGTTAATATCATCGTTTGAGTATTATTATTACTACAGCAGTTGAAATGTTTGACGTTGACTTTGTGTCCTACTTTTGTCTGTTATAGTTTTCTCCAAATTATATAATGTTTGGCTTTCTTTATAATTATCTATAGTTTTTGTTATTTGTCATAGTCTGAATTAATTGCAACATATTCTGATTCTCACTTTGTCCAATCTCTTTTTCACGTACTCATGAGTTGGACTATCCTATTACTTGGAAAAGTTTTGATTAAAGCTTGAAACTATTCAAGAATAGAATCTTTACTGGTGTTCTAAAGTAGGTGAAGTATTTATCAATCACTAATTTCTTTAGTAGCTTGATTGATTAGCTGATTTATGTACAGCAGTTTATTGTTTCTTAGTAATAGTATGGCTTTTCTATATTCTTTTAATGTAAGGTGTTTCTTAATTAAACAATTTCCTTTATTCCATTCGAAGATTTCTTTCCATTTTTAACTGTGAAAGATCTTTAGCCAACTTTATTACTTGGCACATAAAGTTTCCTTTATCTGATAGATGATTCAGAGAGTTGCATGTTAATAGATTGAATAGTTCCCAATTCTTTATCTATACTTATTTGAGTTAGATAATTGTTGTAATTCCTACGGAACTAGGATCTTTTAGTCTATTATATAATCCTATTATTTAACTTTCTTGCTGAAACATCCAGATACTTTTCAGGTTATGAATCTTTGGGTAATGTGTTACACTATTAGGTATAGATAGATCTATATAAGGTACTCTTGTTTTTGAAGAGCTTTCTATATGCTGCCATTAGAATGTTACATATTTTCCAGGTATAGTATACTATGCTATATCCTGAATTATATTTTTGAAATTAATATCCTATTTAGAATATACAAGGTTTGTTTATCTGTTAATTTCTTGCTTTTAAGAGTTCTGATCACTACATTAATCTCTTTTAGTACCCTCTCTTTGAATTCAACTGTAGTTTTTTTATTGCTGGTCCAGATTCCTAGAAATCTTATATGTTCTATTCTACTGAGCTTCTTTACCATTTCTTTTTTTATATTAGACTGAACTTCTTCTGGATAGCAATAAGAATTGTTGAAAATAATTAGAATTGATTTATTACTATTGATTTGAAAATCATTGACTTTGTAGAAGACTCTTGTAGTTTCAAGAATTTCTTTCATATTCTTTTTGAATCTTGCTATCTATGTCATATTATCCATAAAGGCTATAACTACATGTCTTGATTCTAGCCTTCTTGTGGTCTGTCCTTTAAGATCTGGATTTTAAGTGGCCAACATTTTGTATTTCTTTTCTTTGTCATTTTGAATCTTGTAGAGTAAAGGATCATAAAATATTTGCCATAGCAGTGGTGAGATAGTTTCCCCTTGATCAATGTCATCCTCTGCTTTTATGGGTTTTGTAAGGTCATTTTCAAAGATGACTTGAAATTTTCTGTCTTGAAATAGGTTCAGTATGATCTTGATAAAACTCTTTGGTATTCTGATTCTTTCTATTGCTTTGACTAGCATATCCAGACTGATTGTGTTATAGACTTTAACAGTATCTTAAAAAAGTATCTACAATTCCTTTTTATTTTCTCTTGCATCTTCACAGATGTTGTTGAGAATTTGAATTGGTTCTAATGTACTTTCTCCAGGAAGATCCAGAAGTTGGGACCTTTGAGGATGTTATTAACTTTACAGATATTTTCCATTCTATTAGTAAGAATTTTTGTGAAACACTTTCTTGTGACTTCTAATCAAACTATTAGTCTTGTGTTTATTAACTTATACTCCCACCGTTTTGGTTTGGCTATGGAATATATATGGCTCTATTTCTAACAAATGGGTATTATCTTCCATTTCAAGAAGTTATTTAACATTCTTCTCAGGATTTTCTTTTCCTCTTGACTCAGTTTCTTAAGCATTTCATATCTAATTTGTGACTGTCATGGTGCCTTGTTGTTTAGAAATGTTTGAAGTATTTTACCTAATTCTTTTTGTGAAATTGATTTGAGAAGATCTTTATACCATAGTTCCTTGATATAATTCTTGGGTCTATACTCCTCTTTCTAGTCTTCTGTAAGGCTATTGAAGTTGACATCTCTTTTTTTAAAAGCTTCTAGATGGTATCACCTTAGTTCTTTTTCTATTTAACCTATTTTAGTTGTTATGTATTCTGTACCATCCTGTGTGACCTTAACTCTGTTTAGCGCAATTTTGCTTCTTGTTCTATTTGTTAGGGAGCTTATCATTCTTCTCTTATTGAATTTTAGGTTATTGCATCATTGTTTTAAAGCAATCTTGATTGCATTTCTTGTTTTCTTAGCTTC